GGAGGCAGAGGTTGCAGTGAGCTGAGATTGTGCCACTGCACTCCAGCCTGGGTGACAGAGTAAGACTCCATCTCAAAAAAAAAAAGGCGTTTTTAAATTTTTAATCTCTTTAAAAGATAATTGACTGTTTAAAGCAAAAATATATACACTGTAGGTTTTTAAACATATGTAGAAGTAAAATGTATGACAAAAATAGCACAAAAGATGGGAGGAAGAAATGGAAATATACTCTTGTGTGATTCTTACACTACATGTTAAGGGTAGGATTCATTTAAAGGTAGGCTGTAATAAGTTAAAGATGCATATTGTAAAACCTACAGCAACCACTAAATAAAATAAAAACAAAAGTGTACACTAATAAGCTAACAGTGACAAAAAAAGGCAATCATAAAAACAAAACAACACACCTGATGGCCAGGCGTGGTGGCTCATGCCTATAATCTCAGCACTTTGAGAGGCCAAGATGGGCAGATCGCCTGAGGTCATGAATTCGAGACTAGCTTGGCCAACGTGGTGAAAAACCGTCTCTACTAAAAATATAAAAATTAGCCACGTGTGATGGTGCGGGTCTGTAATTCTAGTTATTCAGAAGGCTGAGGGAGAAGAATCGCTTGAACCCGGGAGGCGGAGGTTACAGTGAGCCAAGATCGCGCCATTGCTTTCCAGCCTGGGCGGCAAGAGCAAAACTCTGTCTCAAAAACAGAAAAAACAACAACAAAAAAATCTTTTCTTCAGCCTCTTGGGAACTTTCACCCATTGATCCCTCTCCTTAGCTCAGTCCCTCCACGACTTTATACTTCCCTTCCTTATTCAGCCTAGTACCTACTGTATATCATTTCAAACAATCCTGCCAAGACCCTAAACTCCCTTGCACAATCATTCTGCCCAACTTAACCTGGCCAAGTAACAACTCTGCACAAATCCAACTACTCGACTCTCCGAGCCTACAGCAGGCCTGAATCATACCGATTCAGTATTACCAAACTAATCAGCCCCTCAACACTGCTGAACAACTTTATCATTAGCAAATCTTTCCTATTTTCTGCAATTATGAGAGCCTTCCCCTCAAACCTCTCCCATTCTAGTAGCCCTTGCCCTCTGAATTTAGACATGTTCTAGTCTATTAAAAAAAAAAAAAAAAAGACTTCCTTTAGCCCCAAGTTCCTATCTATAGACCAACTCCCTCTTTCTTCTCATCCTTATTGCATTTCTTATTGAAATAGAACCCAGACTGGGGGCTGTGCCATTTTTCCCGTTTGTTACTACTGTTCTCTTATACCAATGTCTTTTTTGACTGCTAAACTTCGTTCTGTAAAGGCAAAATAGAAAAACTTTTCCAAAAGGAAAAGCCTATATGCCTTCTGTACAAACTTATGAAATTAGACTAAATGGGGAATTTATCATGAGTCCTTAAGTAAAGGACAATAGATAAAATTTCCGTAACATTAATTTCCCATAACATTAATTTTAACAACTTTTTTTTTTTTTTT